TGAGAAAAAGAGAAAGAAAGAAGCTGCAGTCTTTTTATCCTATTTTCTTACAAGTGGCGTACACACCTCCTCTGCCATGTTGTTGGTTACTCACATCAAGCTCACACATTGAGCAAACAGACAGTGTGCTGTGAATGCATAATTATGATTGTAATGCATTCCACTATTGTCATGTATGTAAGAAATAAAAATTAAAGTTAAAATAATAAAAAAAAATAGAATACCAGGGGGCCAGGTCATTGAGGGCCATCTTGGATGCTGACTGCCACACCCTGTGCACAAGAATTAAATTGAAGTAGAGGCAATTCTAAATGAAGTCATATGCTTTAATAAAGTTTACAGTGTTCACTTTATATCCATTTTGGAAAGCGTTTGAAAACTCTCTGAATAAGAACCCTTGCATGATGCCCTTTCCACAGACACCCAGGATGGAATGTTTATCCAGGAGATGTGGCTTCGGTCTGTGTCCTATCACTACAGCCAGTCCTTTCCCTGAAGCTGCGTTTGTTTGCTTACTGTCAAAGAGCTGCCTGTATGGGCCAGACTGGAGCGGGCTCTCATGGTGGCAGTAGGGCTTTGGTTCACCACTTCCAGACCCAGCAAACACTGCTGGTTCTGTCCTCTTGCAGTCCTCTCTTAGCTGTGCCTGCCCATGAGGTAGAGATGGCCTGAAGGATTTGTCACTCCCTGGAAAGTTTCCTCTGTCACTCACAAGGCCCCTGATTGTAATGTGTAGGGCTGCCTGACCTGGTCTCACCATGAAGCCACCCCCCCCCCCACCTTCTGCAGGCCACGGACCCTGACAGCATTTCATCAGTAGGGCTTGTCCTGGAGTCCTTCGTGATTTATGAGCTTCCTGAGAACATTAATAGATTCATCTTGGCAGGTTCCATGTCTTGTGGCTGAAATGTCCACTGGGATCTGTAGAGTAAAATGATAGCACCTATCCTAATAGCAGTTTCTGTCCTAGGCATAGAAATTCTGATATCCACTGACCACCTCTAAGCGGGGAGTCATAAGCTCTGGACCAAACTTAGACCTATCTTTGTTTCATCTTCCAGAAGCTTCCACTTGAGAATTATATGGTAAACAGCACCTGTGGCCACTTGTATATCTTAACAAATGTCAATGATTCACAGCATTTATCTTCTATTGGTTCTTTTAAATTTTATATACTTCTTATACCCTCTCCTCTGCCTCCCCCTACCTCTACAATGGTAGATGAGAGCATGGCATTCACACCTTATATCTATGTAATATCAAATTTTCTGTTTGGGGGCTCAAATTATGGTATAGTTCCTTGAGATCATCTGAGTTCCTCTACAAGCTGAGGTTGGAATTTGTGCACTGAGCACAGTAGGTACTTAATGCCTGTTTGTTATAGGGATGAATAAAGACAGAGTCCCAGAGGGTGTGGACTGTGACTTATCCAATGTTGGGTCACTATTATGTTTTGGGGGGTCTGGGGAGGTCCAGGATGCTTCCTGGTCTGAGTGAGATCTCAAGGCTGTTAACCCAGTTTTCTCCTTGAGTCTTGCAAAACCTTCCATTACTGGACTCTTTGACATGAGTCCACTGTATCTCCCTGATTCCCAGCCTTAAAAGCCCAGGAAGGGCTATACATTTATTAAGCAAGCCCTTATCTGCATATCCCAGCCCCAAAGCTCCTAGAATTATTCTGACATGTGGATGATGAACACTGTCCACACAGAAGTGAGTTTTTCAGGTCTGAGACTCTTTAGTCCTGTTGTATGGGCTCAGACCACAGTGAGCACCAGAGCAGTGATTTGACTTCATGGGGCAATTTCTTTATTAAGCATTGCCTTAATATGTTGCTTCAGTTAACCAATATGATTTCAATTATGCAAACATGACAATTATTTCAGTAAAAATCTATTAGAAAGGACCATAAAGAAGCTTTCACCCCGTCATGGTGTTGCCCAGAATGGTAATGAAGCCATGGTGCTTGAATGTTCCCTTCAGTCTCATCAATAAATCCAGGGTTCCAGACATGGTGCATTGCAAAACCATTCATTCTTTGGGGTTTGGTCAGGGATACAAAAGTATGGGGCAGAGTAGTCAGTAAGGATGGATGTTTTTAAAGGTGACAAGAATCCTGATTTTCTGTTACTCCAGAAATATGCATCTCTTCCCTGAAGAGTCCTAAAATTGATTCTGACAGGGAACTCCCTCACTCTCCACTTTTTCCCTGTACCCCAACCACCCTCAGAGACTAGCTAGTCTAAATATCTGGGTGCTTTTCCTAAGCTTTTTAGACAGTGGCACAATGCTGCTGTGAGCACATAAGGCTATATTTTCACTGTCATCTCTAACTTGTGGTAGTGCTTGGTAATTACATGGTCCTTCCCATCTGCAAGTCAGTAAACACTTTATAAATGTTAATTCTAATTGTCCAACCCCTCTGCCTAGACAGGGAGATTACACAGTGCCTTTGTGACTCAGTCGTGCATTGGTCTAGTTTTGCCTCTTCAGGTGTCTTTCCTGAAGGTGGTGGAGCGGCTGGCACCCACTCTTCAAGATGACCTTCTGTGCTGCCAAGTAAAAGACCTAAGGTTTCCAAAGGATTAGCGTCTTCTGACTTCAGCAAGCAGATATTCCTCTCCAGTACGTTAGGACCTATAGTTTACCACTTACTATTTTTAATTACAGATTAGATTGCTGAGATCATTAGAAATAGTTTGTCTATTAAAGGATGCAGAGTTTTCTTTCTGACATACATTCTCTGCTCCTGACATTTAGAAGGAAAAAATTATCACTGCTTCTTTGGCAACAGTTTTGTTTCTTTTTTCGTGTGTGTGTGTGTGTGTGTGTGTGTGTGTGTGTGTGTTTCGTTTTAAAAGTTAATTTTTCCTAAAGATCTAGGGATTTTTTCTCCTTTTATTCCTTTTCTCCAAAGAGTAGAATACCAAATAACCTTGAAATGTATACTAGTGTATTTCAAAAGCCAGACTAGACTTTAAAGAGACTTCTAGAACAGAACAAAATGATGTTCTGCAGTTTTAAGTTTCTTTAAGCATAGCCTTAATACATTGCTTCAATTAACCTACATGATTTCAATTATGCAAATATGACAATGATTCCATTAAAAATTAGTTAGAAAGATTGTATATGTTAAGGTCCCACAGCAAAAATGTTCCATTTTGTTTGTTTGTTTTTTGATTTGCTTATTTTATCTTTAATGATGACCTATTGAAAGCAAATGTCTTTAAAATGGCAGAATAATGTGATAAAGCATGTTTTCACTGGTAATTTAATACTTGGACATAATGAGTTCATCTGAGAAATTCCATTAAAAACAGCAAGGTGCCTGAACACCAAAGCTGAGATGCTTTTAATCACAGAATTATAGTAATTATACAAATCCATGGATTTTCATCAGACAGAAAAGGCTTCCAGGGCAAAACATGCACTTTAAACTTAGCACTAATAACTGTGTATTGTTCTAAATTATAGTAGACTCCTCAGGCCAAAGGAAGTACTAGAGAGAATATTAGAAAGAAAATGTTATGTGTTGAACATTTAAGGAAAATAGAGAAATAAACTATTTTGGTGATAGATTGGTAGCAGTAAGGGCACATATCCTGGTGATAGAAAGAAAACTATGTGGATGCAGAACATAGCAGGTGACATTCCAATCAGTTCAGTGAGCCTAGGATTATTACTGGCTTTAGTATGGAGAGAATAACCGTGGAATCTCCTCCGGGGTCCTGGAGGTGCTAATTGACTGGACTGAATTCCTGATTCCCATCTGTGACTGGAACAGAAACAGTGAGACTATTAGTGGCCTAGAATCTGGCTTTCTGGGTTGCGATAGAGACGGTCTAAAGTAAATTCAGTCATCTCAGGGATTGTTTAAAATGTCAGGTTTTCACAAAATGTAAAACACAGGGGCCCTTAGGAGCTTATTTTTAAGAGAAATAATACAGGAAGATGTAGCTAAGAAATTTTTACAGAAATGTCCCTAAACAAGAAATTTAATTTGATCTACATTCTATTAATCATTTTCTTATATTTTTTTTCTGGCTGCATAGTGGGAGATATAGAAAGGGCATTGAAGAAAGAAGAACACTGAAAAAGAAATGTGCAAGGAAATATCCTCTACCATGTCCCACTGGGGAACTGGGAGCCACGGAGTTAGGATGGCTCCTTATTTGTTACAGGGATTTAGAGTTGGGGTTCAGAGCTGCCATCTGTCTGAGAGTCACTGTGAACAATTAGGACACAGAATTGTTTGCAGACAATGGAATAGAGACATGTCTGGGTTGGAGTCTCGACAAGACAGTATTTCTGGTTTCTCTTCTCCCACCCTCATCCCTCTCTAAGGTGAACTCATTGCTCTGTCTTTAAGGCAGGATTGGAGAGTTAAGGGGAATAACTGTCCCGATCCCTCTGAGTGTATTACCATCCACATTATTACTTGCACATTTGAACTTCCAGGCGCTGTCCCAGGTTCTATCAGAAAGCTTGAGATCCATTCTAATGACTTGCCGGCCTGCCCTGGGTGAATGCACACAGTGAGCACACAGGGTTCACCTGATTGCACCCCGGGACCTACTGGCCAGGCCCAGGCAGAAAAGTCCCCTGGTAACAATTTCAATATCTTTTAAGTTTTGCTTTTTTCCTTTTTAAATCATCAAAACATGTACCATTGTGGAGAATGTACAAGATATAAAAATAAACAGAATAGAATAGAAGAGAAGCAGAAAAAATGCTCTTAACCCTTCTACCCAGAGAAAATGACTATCTGCATTTTGCCCTGTTTTCCTCTGATCATTTATCGGTGTCCTTTGTTCTTCACTGTGTTACACTGCAGGTGCCCCTTTGTGTCCTGATCTACAAATGTTTACCAATATTTAACCATCGATGGTATCTCTCCATAAACGTCAGAGGAGGCCTGTTTCGTTCACTGATGGCCACAGTGAATGAAAACAAGGTGTTGCCGTCTTCATTAAGTGTACCTGCCCTCTGTGTCTCTCCAGGTCCCCACGTCTCAGTGGTCTCAGTGGTGCATCAGGAGGGTTACGATGGGAATGAATGGAAGAGCCTGGAGGAGCCTGTTAAAGTACCGCTTCTGCCTGGAAGAGCTTCCCTTAGAAGTGGGAGAGCTGTCTGCGGTGGCTGTTGACTCTAAGGAGCGGGACACGTTTTAGACGGAAATGGACGACAGCCGCGCAGGGCGGCCCAGACGCACGCTTCCTGTGGTCTAGTCCAGGAAGCCCTTCCGAGGGGACCGTGACGCTCTGGGATGTCGCGCATGCTGGACGCATGGCCTTCCGCTGAGTGACGATGGTCCGCCGCGGGCTGCTGGGGTGGATCTCTCGGGTGGTGGTTCTGCTGGTGCTGCTCTGCTGCGCCATCTCCGTCCTCTACATGTTGGCCTGCACCCCCAGGGGCGACGAGGAGCAGCTGGGGCTGCCCAGGGCCAACGGCCCCACGGGGAAAGAGGGCTACCAGGCCGTGCTGCAGGAGCGCGAGGAGCAGCACCGCAACTACGTGAGCAGCCTCAAGCGGCAGATCGCGCAGCTCAAGGACGAGCTGCAGGGTCGCAGCGAGCAGCTCCGGAGCGGGCAGGACCAGGCCAGCGACCCTGCGGGCCTGCGCCCCGGTCCCGGTCCGGGTCCTGGTCCCATGCATAAGGCCCAGGCCGACCTGCTGGCTTTCCTGCGAGCCCAAGTGGACAAGGCCGAGGTGCACAGCGGCGTCAAGCTGGCCACCGAGTACGCAGCGGTGCCTTTCGACAGTTTCACCCTCCAGAAAGTGTACCAGCTGGAGACGGGCTTGACCCGCCACCCCGAGGAGAAGCCCGTGAGGAAAGACAAGCGCGACGAACTGGTGGAAGCTATCGAGTCGGCCTTGGAGAGCCTGAACAGCCCTGGAGAGAACAGCCCAAATCAGCGACCCTACACGGCCTCAGATTTCATAGAAGGTTGGTGTGTTTGTGAATGGGAGCTGGGGGGGGGGGCAAAAAGGCATTTGGGGTCCCCTTTGGCCACCAGGCAGGTTCCAGCTGCAGGAGGTCAGCAGTTGGCTCTGGGTTGGCTGGTGGCAAGTTTGATGCGATGGACACCAAAGAACGTGCTGTGGATTTTTATTTTTCAGAAACATCTGTTTCCACTTAGTTTCTGGTAGAAACCACAATCATTAAGTGCACTTTCTCCTTGGCAGATGAAGGTAGAATGTCTTACTTTGCTTTGAAGAAGGAAGAAAGCAAACAAAATATAGACCTAAAACCTTGAAGCCCAATAGACTGTGATAGGCAGTTTTCATTCTATTCCTTCCCATACGCATGTCTAGGAACTGGGTCTGGGTATCAGGCCTGGGAACCTTACATGTGCCAGATGCAGTCTGAGGTACTTTGCACTTATCCATTCACTTTTTCTTCAAAAGTACCCCACTAGAGGAGGAGGAAATGGAGCTATAGATTAATTAAGTGCCTGGAATTGCTTGGCTAGCAAGTGACAGAGCCAGAATGTGAACCCAGCAGCGAGTCTTGAGTCCAGAATTCCCACCCTTTTATCACCAGGTCTATTGTGCACATCGTCAAGGCAGGTGGAAATGAAGCACGTGACTCAACTTTTTCCATGGGCAGGAGACAGCCTTGTGTTAACTTGTGTTTGTGTCTAATTTTAGAAGACAGGTGCCTTGTCCGGTTTTTAGGTTCATTGGTAACCTTTAATTAATTTAGAAATTATTTCTGGTTCAAAATCAACTAATAATTTGAGGGAAGTGGTAGCTTCAGGGGCATCCAGTTCTTTCCCCCATTTCTGATTATAATCTGCTTTGACTTGTCCAGAAATGGAGCTGTGTCCACCTAAGCCCACTCCACGATTTGTTATACAACATTTCACGGGCCTATAGGCAAGACAGATTTCCTTTTGTCAGAAACACTCCTGCTGTTATTTATGTCTGTTCTCTTTGGCACTTTCCTGTCTTATGATTTTTCCATTTTATATGTGAACCATAAATTCATGCGGTTTTAATGTAGCATCATTTTTCATATATCTAGGTAAAGAAATCATTTATAAGATCAAGCTTTTTGCGTAAGATTTTTTTTCTCATTTATATGAAATATGAAAAATGCCCGGAGTGTTCATCCACGAACCAGTATAATGATAAGCATGTGGTGAGCACTCAGTAAGAGTTCAAAATATAATGGTGATGCAGCCTCCCATTTTATGGTGCCTTCCAGTTTATGAAGCATTTCCACATATATTATCTTACTAGCTGATCCCTGGAGAAGCTCATTAAACATCATTTACAAAATCCTGGTTGCCACTGTCCCTGAAGTGTGCTACATAGAGCTGCCCACATACAAAGCAATTTCTAAAGAACTTGATTGCAAATCAATGCCTGCAGTTTGGAATGTTTGCCCTTGTGATTTGCAATCTGCCTTTATTTTTGAAGTCTGTCTGCTTTTCTGTATATAGTATCTTAATATGTAAGGCCCATCTTTCTCAATCAGCAGTGGCACCAGCCTGTTGTCCCCATGCTTATCTGCTCTGAGATCTGGCTGACTTTTTGCAGGAGACACTCTCATCAAAGCTGCCTGGTGTTGTTTTCATGAGCAGAAGATGGCTGATATTTTAATGCAAATCAATCCACATGTATTTGGTGAAAGTCTAGACAACTGTATTCCTATGTGTAAATAAAGTTAAACCCTTAAAATATATTTACGTAGATTTTACAGTTATAAGCAACAGAGGTTAACTTTTAAAATTCTTAGTCATAGCAAAAGATTTGGAGGCAATCTTTTATACACCTAGGAAGCAGGGTATTGTGAAAGATTCAACAAATCAGAGGAAGCAGGGAAGTAGTAGTAACTTTGAAAAGTAGCAATGTTTCAGAAGAAGTGGGATTAATGTTATTATAAGAATTCTTCGCTTAAGTGGGGGATCATTTGGCCAGGAGTTTGTAAATCATGAGTCTTGCCTCAGATTGGTGGCCAGACTGAATTACACTGAAGTATCTTCTCAATCCTGGCTCATGAGTCTTCCATCCACACCTAGACCTTTAAAATAACTTATTTGCATTTCCAAACGTGATTTTGCATATGGGGTTTCCTTAGTCCAAGAGCTGGAACAGTTTACCAAGAGTCTGTTGAAAAAAAAGAGGTGGGGGGGATAAATAAAAGCCCCTGCCATGCTTCCAGATGGTAATAGATATATAAATTTAAAGGTCACCGTGAGGCAGGTGGCATGATGGCCCAAGCATGGGGCACTGAGACCTCAGGACTGAGGCTCCTCCTCTCTGAATAAGAGACTCCATGTGCACGCCATCACTGGTCGCTACAGCCCCAGCCTCAGATCCTGGACTCCATTTCTTCACAACTTTGCCAAGCCACCTTTTCTAAGGAGTCTCCATCATCCACTCTGCTGGGTGACCCAGGACCAGCCACCTACCCTTGGGATGCTCTCCTATAAAAAGATGAATTCAGACAGATTACCTAGGAGGTCTCGTCTGGCTGTGGCAACTCAACAATGGGTGCAGCTTCCAGAGAGCATGACACACTGTGACTCTCTACTTTGTTATCTGTATGATTTAATTATTATCAGTCTCCAAACACAAGGGAAGCGATATCTGCCTCCTTTCCCCAGATGTTTCATGGGCGTTTATTTTTGTGTTCTATTCTTACATAGTTGCACTGACATTTTACAATCATCTGGAGAAAGAAGTGTGATCGGGACCTGGCCTTGGATGCCTCACTTTTGATCTCCTCAAGGAAACAGGCAATTCCTTCTTTTATGTCGTAGTTCAGTTATTCCTTCAGTATGGGACATACACCCAGGCATTGAAATCTGAGTGGCACAGCATTTGGCTTTGATTTAATGTTTTTTTTTCAGTAGAGCTCTTGGATATTGGTTTAACATCATCTCATAAAACAATTTAGCCTTCTGAGTCATTCCTCTTTTGCAATCCAGACATCTGACAGTGGGACTCCTGTGCAAGCATTGGAGTCTGCTGTCTCCATGGGGTTGCCCTAATGTCACCCACCGGCCTGGGCAGCTCATCCTCCTCCAGGGAGAGAGCTGTGGCGAGAGGGGGTCAGATGCCCAAAGACTCTTTTTTGGAGTGAGGTGAAGCCAAGCTATGATCTGCAAGGAAATGGAGGTTTTGAGAGTACTGTAGTATGAATGTATCCCCTCCCAAACCCAGGTTTTGCCAATGTGACAGTACTAATAAGAAGTGGGACCTTTGAGAGGTCCCGAGGACTCGTTTCCCTGTGAATGGGAGTAAGACTCCTAAAAAAGGCTTCCTGACACCTTCAGTAGCTTGCCCTTCCACCTTCTGCCATGTGAGGAAACGGTGGTCCTCCCCTCTGGAGGTACAGCCCTCAACAAAAAACAAACCTATCAGCACCTTGATCTTGTAGTCCCTCCACCACCAGAACTATGAGCAAATACGTTTCTATTCTTTATAAATTATCCAGTTTTGGTGGTGTGTTTGTTTGTTTTTGTTTTTTGTAGCAGCACACAATGGATTAAGACAGAGGGTAGAACCTGGGCATGGTAGTTTATGCCTGAATACCAGCTACTCAGGAGGCTGAGGCAGGAAGATCTCAAGTTCAAGGTCAGCCTTGGCAATTTAGCAAGTCCCTATCTTAAAAATAAACAAAAAGATGAAACATACCCTGAGAGGTGAGATATACTTTAAAACAAGAAGATATAGAAATTACTGTATAAATTAGTAGCAGACTGTACTGTTGTTCCCAACCTCTGGACTCCACAACCAAGACCTTGTGGAGATACTGCTGAGTTTTGGACTTCCATTGTTTGTGTATCTCCAAGTGACTTCTAAGGGACACTCTGTAACTGACCACTTTGCTCAAGTGTATCCAGACAAATCAAATCCAGTTCCAGGTCTGGCTTTGAGCATTCTAGAGTCATCCATTGGTGAGAGACGTGCCAGGGCAGAAAATGGAGCCTTTTCTCAGTGTGTATTTGGACCTCTTTGTTGGCTGCTTTATGGCATGAGGTAGAAGTGGTAAAATGGGTATTTGGATGCTTTTTCTGGGCATTGGGAGATCTTGATGTGGAAATAAGGAAGAGTGGAGGTTCAGTTCTTGACTTAGGGCTTAAATTTCTCTGCCAGTGTCTCCAGGGGATTGAAAGTGGCAGAATTCAGTATAATTGGTTTGCCCATTAAGTAGTGAGAAAGCCTGTGTGATAGATGGTTCTTGTGTCACCTCACCCATGTGCTCTGTCCCTTTCCCTGTCTGACATCTACCCATTTGTTTGTTGATGCCTTAAGTTCCTATGAGGAGGGAGAGATGCTTTTTATTCCAAAATTAGAATTAAGAGGCTTAAATGCAAATAAGTGGCTTGAGGTTTCACTTACAAGAGTAAATTATATCTATGGTGATGATGAGAAAGAAAGTAGCCCAGCCTTGGTTTCAGACGGTGGACAGGAATCTGCACCCCAGGCCCTCCATCAGGGCCTGGCCAGTAGGAGCGTCCCTGTAAGAATAAATACTCTTCTATTGAAGACTATTTTGAAATTCTTGATAATTCTTGAATACAGGACTCCACATTTTCATTTTGCACTGGCACCTGCCTGCTAGTGGCCAGTCTGCCTCCAAGACGGGGAGGGCAGGAGGAAATAGTTAAGGAAAAGGGCAATAGAATTAGAAGGTTAATTGTACAGTTCTGACACCTTTACCAAGGATCCACTCCATTGACCTTCAGCAGGCTGGGACAGACGGAACCTGTGTATGGAGTATTTTGTTGCAAGATTGAGAAACTGGCAAGTCTGAGTTTGTATTATCATTTGGTGATTTCATTATTTTTATTTAAGTAACTTATTTCCTAGGGACCTTCTCTCCTCCTCCTCTTCCTTCTTCTTCTTCTTTTTTTTTTTTTTTTTAGTTGAGGTGTCACTTCCTGGTTTAGGTTTCATATTAATAATATATTATAAGACAGAATTTCTGAT